CCCATGCCCTAAGGGGAAAAAGGAGGACCTCCTTTCACCTCCCACCAAAGTGACTCACCCAAACCTATGCTTAATCCAAATCGGCATGATTAAGGTTTGTCCACCCAAGCCCCCATAAAGCCCAATCTTCATGACAAGCAAGCACAAACTATTTTCATGCAAAGGCCAAAAGGCACCCAAAATGTAATTCAAATCCATTCCCCCAAACAAAATCAAATCTCTCATGACACAAAATAAATAAATAAAATCGATAATAAAATTCAAAGATGAAAAGAATGGAATTTTTATTTATATTAAAATAAAAAAACACAAAGGGGTTCAAGTATTTCTTTTTATTATTATTCTCTCTCTCTCTCTCTCTCTCTCTCTCTCTTAAACCCCCCCTCCCCCCTCCCTTATTTTATTTCTCTCTGCATCACTCTCCATTTTTTTCCTCTACGCGTGAGAACCCCTCATCGTCACCTTCTCTCTTTCATATATTTCATTCCACTCCACTCCTTCCCCTCTTCTCCTCACCGTGAGCTTCAGCTCTCCTCTCCAACTCCAATCCCCAGTTCTCCCTTACCGTGAGACTCCTCAAGCCTCCCTTCAAACCGTAAAAAGAAAAAGAAAAAGGAAAAAAAAGGGAAGCCACCTGCTCTCCTCAAACAGCTCCCCTGAGGAAAACACGTACATGCTTTCGTTCTCTTTTTCCAAATATATGCCTTTTTATCTAGGCTCAATATATTTGCTACATTTTTTTTTAATTATTTTTAGGGTATATATATGTACATCTAACCTCGAAACCAAAAACAACCCGTCAATAACCTATCAACTAATGCAAGAATGAGAGCACTGTAGATGTTAGATATGTAAATACATAGGAGTTCAATGATATGCATGCAAATCTTGCAGAAATAATTTTTTTCATTAGAAGCTCAAAACAAGCTTAAAAGGACATAAATAATAAATTTATAGAAAATGTTGATCAAAATATTGATGTATAAAATGACAAAATCTTGATGATAAAACAATAAAAATGTAAGAAACTACTTCAATTAATTTCTATATGATAAAAACATTTAATAGATACAACTATGTTCGAGACAACGAAATTTTACACATTTTATATGCAAGTTCTACTTTAAATAATAGCAAATGATCCTATCATCTGAATTGATCCCTCCAATCGGTTGTATCTATTTGTACAAGTGTTTCAATATATTTACATACTAACACACCACAATCAAAGCTACTTGTTTGGACTGGAATGCCTTTTGTCATAGCAACTGACTATTTTCGCAAGTTACTTCTAAAAGCTCCACTAGCATCCCTTGCAAGATGTTTAATCTGTATTTTTTAATTTTTAATAAAATCAATAAAGGCATATTAAATAAATGACAACATATTAAAATTGCTTCAAAAATGAGTGATATTGTGTTAAATGTTCTTACGACATTCTGGTGATTGATATACGCATTTTGTTGGGTAAGGAACATCCTGGGCGATCGATATAAGTATTTTGTCGGGTAAGGAGTCATATAATCTCCATTTGCGGTTCTTCAATTCCCCAATCAAGAGTGTCCAATGTTAATTATTATTTATTGGTATCAAAATAAACTCTACATTTTTAATTGTATCATTCGTTGTGTGCCTAACAAACGCTTTAGAGTTATCATTTATGTACAACTGCATACATAAAACATAATGGTTTCTAAAATTTTATAATGGTAGATGTGTTTAAATGTATTGCAAATCACTTGAGCTTGAATATTTAAACAATGAAGTGGAGACACGTAGACGTAGGATCTAAATAATTATGGTGATTTGAGCCTCTTATTTTCCATTATTAGTGCAAAGCAATCTACACGCTCATTTGCTAGCCAACCATTATTCAATATTTTCTCAATGTAACCTCAGCTTATTCTAACAAGCCACTCTCTTATTATAACCTTATTTCTGCATTTCAAACATATAATTTTTTAGAGAATTTTTTACCAAAGTAATGCAGAACAAAAAAAAAACATCATAGTTTACTCACACGACCGTTTATTTACTACAACATTGAGCGATTACTTTCAGTATGTGAGGTGGAACTTGAGCTCTAGCAGAAAAATCAATCACTAATGATGCTGGAATGAGCTGTTTATTTATATATTCATCTTCATTTTCTGGTACAAAATCCTGCTCCTCATGGTCTTTTTTTGTATCTTGATGTTCTAAAATGAGCTGTTTTTGCTCCTCTTCCTCTATATGTACATCTTGAACTTTTGCTTTAACTTGATCTTGCTCTTCCTCTCTATTTACATCTGGGGCTTCTATAATGTATAGTTCTTTCTCATCATCTTCTTTATTTACATTTTCAGGATCTGTAATGAGCTGTTCTGTAATTGGTTGTGATGAGTTTGTTATTATCGGTTCTTGTGAAACAGACTCATTCGTTATTTCTTCTAATTTTTCAATCTGTGCTAGTAAAATATCTAATGAGCATTTGGAACGCTCCTCTACTTCCTTTATCGGTTTTCTTTTCTTCTGTGGTACTGTTATACTGGGGTACTTAATTTTCTTTTTTTTTTATATTTACTTTGGCCTTAACCCTCTGAAGCAAACTATCAATTGAGGATTCATGTACCCTTTTTATTGCAAATTTTCCTTCAGTTTTGTTTTTTTCTTTCTCTAATTTATTCACTTGAGACTGTAACTCTGACATTCTGCTATCGAAATTAGTAAAATAACTATTCACAGATTCTTGAAAGTCAAAAAGAAATTTCTGTTGACCTTTAAGTATGTGGTATAATTCTTCTAATGCAATATTACTGCTCGTGTGTGCATTTGTTCATTGCGGGCTGTTGTGATATGGAATAACAAGATTAACATAAAAAAAATTGGGTGAATGTGATATGGAGTGAGCTTCCTATTGTGGGATTCTGATCTTATGACTAAATGATCCTTTAAATGGAAGGACCAGTAAATGGTGCTCATCATTTTTTAAATCTACAAAAAAATAAAAAAACTCCAAAGCATTTTAGAGAAACATTGTCAATATAAACCAGAATAACACCTAAAAGACAATATCAAAAACTAGAATAACACTTTTAGGGGATTATAAGATAAATGACTCACCTGTGCATCGTTTAGCTCTTAAAGACTATATGAATATGTGATGGGTTCCGGCTCAGACTTAAAGGTCATCATTGTATGCGAGGTCTGGCCTCAAGAACAATGGAGATGACCAAAGATGTGTGTTCATAGAACCAAAGCTGTGTAAAACATAGATGAATCGCTATTTTATATGACCAAAATACATAAGGAAATTTTTCAGATGGAAGTACAAGACACTAGCCGTCAGAAAAAAATAAAACCATTCATGTATCCCAATGGTTGATCCCTCTTTATTTTAATGGAGCAGACATTGACTTGCTTAATGAGAAATTCACATATCATAGCAGACCAATTAAATGAAGAAAAATCATGTACGTTCTCACAGATTGAGTAAAGATCTTCGGTCAAACTAAAATTGCTTGAAAGAAAAAAAATTTTGATAACAAAAACTTAAGAAATAGATCATCAAAGGGAATAAAAGACTCCCCTAGTGCAACCTTCAATAGGTCACTTTTTATTTGTCTGACATCCACACCACATAAAGGAACTTTATTCCATTTAGCTGGTGATTCTCTGTTGGGCATGCCTATGAGCAAGACAATGATTTGGATCAAATCTCAGCTCTTTACCTCCCATATTGAAAACTATTCGATCAATAACCCAAAATTTCAAAATGTACATAGTTAGGATATGATCTTGAGGGTATGGAGAAAGTTCAAAAAAATGAACCATATTCATTGCTTTCAAATTTTTCTGTCTTCTCCTGAACTTTATCAAGAATAGCTCTAACTGTTGATGGACAACATCTATAATTCATGGCCTTTGGGTTCAAAAACCTACATGAATAGAAACATAATAGAAGCATAATGACACCATATTAATATAATAGAGGCATGATGACACCATATTGTCATTAGAAGCATAATACACTATATTAAGGTCAAAATAACCCAATATCCCCTCAATAACCCAAAACTGTGAGTGTTACCTTGAAGTTATTTTGGTTGGAACATTATTTTAGCCATTGTATGATACTATAAGGATTTTATTGAGGGCTAAAAAATAACAAACAAAGCTAGCTTGATATGTTTTTCTAGCCCTTACCTGATTCATTCTCCTTCTTACGATCCTTCTTCACAATTTTCTTTTACTCTTTCAACTCCGTCCTCATTGGCTCATTCGTGTCTTCCATTTTAATCTTGTATCAAAGAACGCAAAGCAAAGCCCAATTAGAAACTGAAGGATGAAGAGGAAAACCTAGCTGACGAGTGAATGTGAAACCCTAGCCCTTTCTTTCGAAAATGAATGTTTGAGAATCAAAACGACACCTTTTATGTTTTACGATAGGCAGGACAGGCGTTTAAAGTGTTAGAATTTAAATAAAAAACCTCCCAACAACCCCACAATACTCCCTAATAATCCCTAGTAACCCCACGAGAACCACTCCAACAAATCCCGCCAACCACTTAGATAATCCCCCAATAACTCCCGCAGAGCCACCTCAAGAATCTCACAATAACCCCCAATAACCTTTCAGTAACCCCTCAATAACTCCTGCAGCAATAACACCCAATTAATCTCTCAATAACCCCTCAATAATCCTCACAGAACCACTCTATTAACTCCAAAATAAACGTCAATAGCCCCTGAATAACCCCCACTAACCCCCTCTTGAACCTCTTCGATAAGCATCGCAATAACCTTCAAAATAACGCTCAATGACCTCCCTATAGCCCCCCGATGAACCCTTCAATAACTCTCTAACATAATTACTCTGATAACATTATAATAAAGCACAATAACAACCCAATAATAATAGTAGTTCCAATCGGATCACACAATTTTTAAAGAGGGAATCTATTTCTTAATTCCGTGGGACCAGTATAACACTTTGCCAATATTTGATGGAAATGTTAAAATTTTTCCCTCAAACTCAGCCCACGCCGCCACTTCCCCACGAGCTTCTCCTTCGACCGAATACCTCCTCACGCTCCTCACGCGCCTCCTTCCTCTCTTCCGCCTCGCTCGATCTTCCACGCCGTTGTCCTCGTCCCCAAGTTTCCTCGTCGTAGGCTAGGTAAAAGCCCTAAATGCTCTCGAGCAAGGTGTCACTGGCTCGACTTCGGCTTCCTCCCGCACGAGCTTAACCCGTCGCCTCCCCCGCTCGACACCGACGTCGAGTCCTCCTGCCTCTTCTCTGCTCGACGACGCTTCGTCCCACTCGAGGCCGTGACTCCTCTTCTCTCCTCTCTGCAGGTAGGTGAAACTCTCCCTGTCGCGAGCCGTCCCTTCACTTCCTCTTCTTCAGTTGTTCGTTTCCTCTCCCTTCCCTGATTCATCGTTTCTTCTTCCATCACTGTTCGTTTCTTCTTCTCTGTTCCTTCGTTTTCCCCGTTTCATCTTCCCCTGTACAGAACCGATACAAATTACAGTGGATGTAATTATGGTTACTATTGTTATCCTGGTAACATTATGAATCATGCTAATTTAGAATTTAACCACGTTATATTTGATTAAAACTGTTGTATACCGTGTTGCTAGATTGCAAAAAATGATTATTTGCAAGGCTTTATTTACCAGTCTAGTTTTTGTTAGGTAATCGAGCTTTTACGATACATTTACTTTTAGATGATAACCACGTTATATTTGATTAAAACTGTTGTATACCATGTTGCTAGATTGCAAAAGTTGATTTTTTGCAAGGCTTTATTTACTAGTCTAGTTTTTGTTAGGTAATCGAGCTTTGACGATACATTTACTTTTAGATGTTTTTTAAGCATATATTGACTCTTACATTGAGGTTTTTGTTTTGATTTGACAGTTGAAATTTTGTTAAGGGTTATTTGGTTATTTTTTAGTGTAAAGTGAAAGAAACATAAGAGTTTTTTATTTTTTGGTGTTTGGCAGTTATTAAACCTAATATCAAATATTGTATGTGATTTGGAATACCCCATAATGCTTATTTTTTGAAGAATTTGAAACTCATGCAATGGGCGAATTCTAAATGCAGGAGAAACTTGCAATTTGCAGCCTCATATTCCAAATAGCTCCTTAGAAAGGTGAAGTGATATTTTAATGCTATATTAAGTACCATCTTGTTACCGAAGAATTATTTATTTTAAATACCGTCTGACTGTTTCTGGTTGTTGCTCATCTTTGTGAAGTAAAGCATGTAGTAAGCCATCGTTCTGTGGTTTTATGTATTGTTTTTGAGTTGTTTAATAGGCATTAAGAGGAACACAATCGGTAGCTAGGATTATTAAAGAAGATTTATTTTCCCTCCATTGTTTGTTAGAGTCATGGGAAAAAGATCAAAAAAGCGTGGTAGAACTCCAAAGCTCGGCAAGGCTTATGCTCAAGAAGATGATGCATATATGGAGAAAGAAGTGGACGATGAAATAGATGCATGTGAGAACTATAAACATTTTGTTGTTTTTGCTCCAAATCTCCAATTTTCTTCATTGTGATAAACTTGTTTTTTTTTCATTGCAGTTCATAAACAGCGGGAGATGATTCTGCTGGATGTTAATAAGGATGCAGGTAAGTTTGTGCATAATTTTGTGTTTACATTAGGTTTTTTTGAACTAAAAAACTCTTATCATGGTTGCAATTTACCTGGGTTTTTTTAACATATAATGTTTGTTTTTGCTGTATGATGCCAAACAGGAGACTCTGATGATGATCTGGAAGAACCGGTTTTTGATTTGGAGGTAAGCACATAATATATGTCATTATTTCCTTTACATGAGGTGGTGCTTTGAATGAAGGTTTAGACTTCTTGTTTTCTAATATTGGATTGTTGTGGAAGCTTCCTTTGAACTTTTGCTGTGTAAGGAGGTATTAGTAGCCTTCATTTATTCAAACTATGATACGAGATAATCACGCTGAGAACTATTTTATATGATTCAGTTAGTAGTAGTATCAGTTGTTTAGAATGTTCTCTTTTTCATTGAATTCCCTTTACCCATATTGGACCTCCCACCCACATTTACTCTCCCTCCATTAATTTCCACTTCCATTTCAATGTCCTTTAGTTTACAAGTAGTTTTCTCTCTCTTTATTTGTTTATTTATCTTATGCTAGTTCTTTCAGTTTGCTATGTCAATTGTCTGTAAATATGTCAAAAATAAAAAATTTAAGCTGAATAAAATGATGTTTTGTACCTGTTTTACATGCATTGTTATGAAGAGTAGTGTAAGAGTTGGTTTGCTGTTTGTTTTATTCCTACATAAGTAAGCACTTTTTAACCATTAGGTGCTTCTCTTTACAACTGAAAAACTGAAAAATTTGAAAGTTTCTTGCACAGAACGTGGCTTTTTAAGCTTCAAGGATAGTATATAACTAGAATTCTTGTATTATAAGTAAAGGCCATTTTTGAGGAAAGGATTGCTCATCTGTCAAATATCAATTCTATAACTTAATGATTTATATTAAAAGTAAACTGTTGTGTTTGTCAGCTACTCATGCTGTACATGGGTCCCTATTCCCCATATAAAAAGATGTTAATTATTCAGGATCATCAAAATGGTGACAGTTATAATGATAGAGAAAATGATGATGAAGAAGATGAAGATGAAGATGATGACGAGGACAGTGGAGATTTTGATGATGTGAAAGATAAAGGATTTTCTGCAAAAAGTATGGTGATGATTCTTTATTTCTATATTGTTATTCATATCTTGGTATGATACGTCCTCTGATTTCTGAATATATTCAGATTTGTCTTCTTATGTTTTAAGAAGTTACAGTCCTTTACATATCATTATATTCATATTCAGATTCAAAATGATAATCTATTTTCTAAATAAATGAAAATTTTAGATTAATAAATTTTACTAGAATTTCCTTTATATTTTAACTCATACTTTAGAACACACATCTATTATTATTTTTTTTTTCACAGTTTTCAAGTCCGTTAGTCTTATGGAAATTTTGTTCGTTTTAATTGGAGCACACTGATAAAGTTCTAACCACACTTGTTTTGGTGGCTCACAGTTATAAGGCAGGCAAAATATCTCAAGGAAAAGTTTGGAGGGGGAGAGGATGAAATGTCTGATGATGATGAACAGGATGAAGAAAGAAAAACTGTGTGGGGTAGAAAAAAGAACTTGTATTACAGTGCGGATAATATTGACTACGAAGTAAATTGTTTATCATTGACGTGCTAGCATTTTAAGATTGAAATCTCCTCTGGAAAATTATTTATAAGTATCCACTCTTCTCGATTGAAGCTCCAATCAAGTGATGAGGATCTCCCTATGGAGGAGGAGGCTGAAGTGCTGAAAATTCAGAGAGAGAAGGCAAAAACACTTGAAATGGAAGATTTTGGTCTTGCAGATTCTGATAAAGAAATGAGTGATTTTGATGGTGAAGAGAAACTTTTTCAGGTAGCTGTGTAGCCCACTCTCTTCATGCCAAGTTTGTTGAGTATGCCCTGTTGCCCTCTTGAAAATATTTAGGAAGATTTACATGCATACCAATCAATTCTTATGTATTTACATATCCAGCACCTAAACTTTAATTTTTACATATATGCCACCCTACGTATGCTTAAAAAAAGTGTATTCACTTTCTTAAAGTTAAAATAGTGGAATTTTTAATGTGAGATGAAAGGTTTGGGTGGCATACATGTAAAATCAAAGTTTAGGTGTTAGATATGTAAACACAGAAGAATTAGGTGGTATTTATCTAAATGCTCAAAGTATTTATATGCATTCTTTCATAGATGAAGTATGCGTTGATGTGCTAGTCAACTACTTTGTCCGTGCCGCCTCACTTTTTTATTTATCTATAGGAATTAGGCAAAGGGGCAGTTGCTCAGAAAACTGGTGTGGATGTTGATGGCATAACAATTGATGGCTATGAAGAGATAAAGAAAAATATCAACGCTTTGTCAAAGGTAGAGCAAATGGATGTTGTTTATAGGTATGAAATTTTGTCATTTTATGCTTGGTTTCAACCACGTACTTATTTTTCGCTTCTTTTTTGCTTTTCAACATCTTGTTAACGTAATTTGAGTTAATTGAATTTATTGCAACAAAGTGCATGCCGCTTATGGATTGGATCCTAGATGTGCGCAGCATTGTACACTTATATATAAGTAATATTCTTTATTCTTCTATTGTTCTAAAACTAGTTACTATATATGTAAGCCCCCTTGGCATGGTAGTTGATAGCTTTACTTTCAACCAAGAGGTATTGGGTTCAAAGCTTGCATATGCATTCTCTAAAAAAAAAAAAAAGATAAAAAACTTTATAGCAAGTAGCATTTATGCCACTAAGTGGGGTTGGATGATAAGCTTTTGATAAAAAAAAATGGCTAGTATGTACGTTCATATGATGTGAATAACAATAAAAAAATTAAAAAAAAAATCATTGTTTAATAAAACTTTTAATAATGTGTTAATGTTTACTAGTTCTGACATAAGATTTTTTGAGAAAAATGTTATTTATGTAATTTTGATTTATTGTTATATCATGTAGTTTTATATGAAATAATTTTTTGCATAAATGAAAAAGTGAAATCTTTCTTTTAGTATCATTCAGATATATCATAAAAGCAACGTAAGTATTAATGATACTTAATTCGTCTATTAGAAGTTAGTTGATTTTGCATAGATTTGAAGACATACCATATATGAATTCAATTAGTCTAGTTCCGATGTAACCCACTCATTTTTCTGGATCGCTTACAATCTTCAAAAAATTGCTCAAATATTGGATTTGGGCTTTTTTGTGATCTGAGAAGATTTGCAAATGAATATATTTCATGCAAATTTCATCTTCTAAGGCTTTTGAAGAAAATAAAGCCAAAATTTGATTCAGCTCTAATATTCATCGTCATGAAAACATTACAAAATCATTTTTTTTTTTTTTTTTGAAAAATTCATTTTTCAAATGCCTAGCATTTGTCTTTATGGAATGGAAATGAAAGTGAAAATAACTGACGAGATGGAATAAAGTTTACCAAATAATCTGTTGTTCGCCCCTCATTGCGAAATATGTCAAGAGTTACAATAACATTGCACTTCATTTGAAAAAAAGGGGTTTTGCTTCTTTAGGAAAAACACAAAATCATTTGGAATCCACTTTGATCGGTGGACTATGCATGCTTGGAAAGTTGGAATGTTATCTACTTTTTCTTGGAGAAATTTTTATCGGTCATCAAGTGGTACTGTGGCACGATTTTTGTGTATATTTTTTTGGGAGACTAGCGTTACTCTATAATGAATGATGCATGTGACAAAAAATAATTGGATTTAACTTTAAGATTTTGATGTCAAGGCTAGTCCTTAGCGGATTTAATCTTCTTGGTGTCTATCCTAACCTTTCCATTGCCAACTTAAAACCTTAAACTGAGGAGGGTCTTCTTCCTGAAGTTACACTTTCTTAGTTACATGAAGTGTAAATTATTCTTTAGGAGAGTGAGCACAATCTGCATTTGTTAGAGTTATTCCTCCTATGTTTTCCGATAAATGAGGATATTGTTGAGGATACATCCACAAAATTCACCTTGAATGGTCTTAGATTATCGTTCTTGAGATGCATATATGTTGTTAGTGCATTACAAAAATTGAATGATATCACTATCCATTCATATGGCCCTTGCCTGTTCGTGATTTTTACTTCTCATGTATCTTCTTCGTGAACTTAAGACTTGTTGGTGGTAGCTTGATTTTAAATATAGCTTTATGAAGCGTATTGCATGCTTAAGGTAGTTTAGCAAGTCATCTTTTTGGGATAGTGTATATTAGTTCTGACAATGATTTTATTTAGTACCTGTTGATTTATGGTCATCCACAAACTACGATCCTTCTTGGACACCATTACAATTAGTTTGCACAATGAGTTGCTTGACTTGATTAGACTATCTTTTTTACAACTCAACCACTTTATGACTTTTTTATTCTTCACCCGTTGAGTTATGATACATAACAATTTTGGATAGAGTGAAATTTGATAAGAGACAAATCTCATTCTTATTTGCCCGACGAGGAGGCAATTCTCTCAGTTCCTTGAAAAGTTAGGTGTGATTATATTATGTCGGTGTTTAAGTACAATTTGTCTTCTGTGTGCCTAAGGGCAATTTAGTATTTTGTTATTTGTTATTGTTTGGTATATATAGGGCTAATATGTTTAGGGTTAGGGTTATGCATGAGATTGTATCTTGAGTCTTATGGTTAGGGTTTGGGGGATATTTCCTACATCTCAAATTGTAGGATTTTGGAGAGATAGCCCACGTCTCGAATTGCACGTGCTTGTCTTTTTGGTATTCGGAGTTGTATTGCATTGATTTGTTTTTTAGCGTGATAAAATTTATATTCGGAGTTGTATTGCATTGATTTGTTTTTTAGCGGGATAATTTATTTTTTTTAACCCTATTATCTATGAGAAATCGCTCCGGTTCGTATCAAATTCGTATCAGAGCCGCAATCTGGGAATTTGAGAAGGAAAGAAGGGATATCAGCTCACAGAAGAAGATCACGTCTCTTCTAGGAAGAAAACGATCGTGGCGTAGAGTTCTTCATCCGTCTAGATATTGCAAGGCACGACTCCTTCATGACCATATGTCTCATATGTATAGAAGATTGCAAGATCAAGGTGTATTGGCGATACACTCAAGATAGAGCTAACTAAGAAGCGACCACAACATCACGACGTGCCGTGATATAATTGTGATAGAGCTAATTGGAAAGCATCGACTGTATCACGACATATAGGCTCTTGTGACTAAACCTTGAGATCAGGATTGCATCGTGAAATGACCTTACAACACGATACAATCACGAATTGAGATATTTGGGAAGTCACAGATGGGATTTCGGTGCACATGAGTTTTTCGTTCAAAAATTATCTTGGAGAAATGACAACAAGGAAAGTTGATGCTTTGGAAGAGAGATTGGAAGAAATGGGGCACCAGGATAGAGGAAAGGTTTTCCTCCATTGAAAAACCAATTGAAGAACTTGGAGGAGATGATAAGGAAGTTTTTTGAGATGCAATCCAGAACTCTGCCGACGGCTAAACTTGCAAACTCAACCAAGGGTAAACCAGAGAATCCATGACCATATCAAAAGAGAAAGCGATCTAATGTGAGGAACATAAGGAAAGCATCCACCATCAAAAACTCTTCTCTAGGACTCCAATGGGGGGTGAATTAGAGATTTCAGATGGAGGGGGTTGAGTCGAAAAATGGAGGGTTTATGCAAGCGGTCGGGAAAGAAGGAATGAGAGAAATCGGGATGAGGTATGATTATGATTGATGCAAGAGTTTTACCCTAGATATATGGGGGAAACACCGGAGGGAGAAAAAGTTGGGTTAGATGTTCTAGGATTAGGAAGTTAAAGATGTCAATCTTCGAGGGGGAAGACACACATGAGTGGGTGTACCGAGTGGAGTGATATTTTACACTGAATGGGCTAAATAGGGAGAAGACGCTCATGGAGATAGGGTTTTGTGTTGAGGGGGAAGCCAGGGAGGGTAGATACTCGATCGTGGGAGGAATTTTAGGATTATTATTGAAACTTTTCCGAGCCATTCGTGGGAGACCTACATGAGCAATTCTATGTCTTGACTCAGGAGGGGACTATCATGAAATATTGGGAGAGATTCATGCAATTGTCGAGACAGCTGAGGGGGATTTCTGAAGCAGAATTGGAGGGGAACTTCATGAAGAGTGAGGAAGATGATGAAGCTCACCCAGATGATGGAAGACAGAACTAGATGAAGAAAGACCATAAAAGATGGCACCACAGGAGGATTCCACAAGAATACCTAAATGAAAATGACACTGAAGACCCATATTGTTTCATTCCACGAGGTGCTGAAGGAGAGGAATACAAAGGCTCATCCCGGGGGCAACTTCAAGCTACTCATAGAGACGGAGGTTCAAGATAAGAGGACAAAAGGATTATGCCATCGTTGCAAGGATCGCATGCTCCAGGTCCTTTTAGTTTGTTAGGGAGAGGTAGATAGTGAGGAGTCAGGAAGAAGCAGTGGAGGGAGAGGAGTACTTGCATCTGGATGTAGCAGTGGTATCCCTCAATTTAGTGGTGGGATTTACTCTAAATCACTCCACGAAGGTGAAGGGACAAATCGGGGAGCTATTGAAAGTGGTGTTGGAGGATAGTGGTGCCACTCAACTTCATCTCAAATTGGGTTGTGGACCAATTGCGGTTGAAGTTGATAGATACATAAAGTTTTGAGGTTATGATGGAGACAAAAAATGTGGAGAAAAGCAGAAGTTGCAAGGGATTGATGTTGATACTACAGAACATATAGGTGGTGGAAGACTTCCCTCTTTTGGGCTTCAAAAGTATATATGCGATTAAGGATGAAGTGGTTACAGATGATTGGAGAGACGAGGTTGGATTAGAAATCCTTGAATATGGAAGAGTAGGATAGAGAGGAGGAAGGTGGTGCTTCGCGGTGACCCTAGCTTATGTAAGGCCTTGGTGTCAGCGAATCCATGAAAGATGGCAACTATGTTGGAGGGTCCACTACCTAAGACCTGCAAGAGCTTAGAAAGCTTATGGGAATTACATGATACTACCTGAAATTCGTGATAAGTGGTAATTTGATTGTGTGGTCGTGGACGTAGAAATTGAAGAAGGATAACTTTCAGTGGGACAAAATGACAACCCAAATTTCTAAGAAGTTAAAGAAGGCCACGACGAGTGTATCAATGCTGAAGGCAAGAACCAGACTCAAGACAATTTATGAGAGGGAGCCACATGACTTGATCTAGTAGAAGTTTTCTTTTTTCCCACCTTGAGGACAATGTCTTTTTGGGGTGGGAATATTATTACGCCAGTACCTAAGGGCAATTTTGTCTTATGACGCTTAAGGGTAATTTAAGCTTTCTTCATTTATTATTGTTTAGCATAAATATGACTAATATGTTTAGGGTTAGGGTTTTGTATGAGATTATGTCTTGGGTCTTAGGGATAGGGGTTGAGAGAGATTTCTTACCCTCGAATTGTAAGATTTGGGGGAGGTTGTCTACTTCTCAAATTGTAGGTGCTTATCTTTTTTGTATTCGGAGTTGTATTGCTTTGAGTTCTTTTTTGGTGGAATAAACTATTTTGTTTTCCTTCCTAATTTTTTTGAGAAATCGCTCAAGTTTGTATCATGTTATCCAGTTGATTTATCAACGTCTCATGCTGCTTGGCATCTATAGACTTGCTGTAGGTTTGGTTATCATTTTTGTCTTCTACCTTGAAGAGTTAATGCCTTTCTTCAAAGGAGGGATGAAGGTACTCATCTTTCGCTTTCGAGTCAATTTTGTTTCATGCTTTTGTAACAAGTTCTTTTTTATTTTGATTCTCTTTGGTGTCTGTTTCTTTGTTCATCATTCTAATTTGCTCATCATCTTCAGCAGCACAACTGTTTTTGAAGAAGTGCAAACTTAGGTAGCCGAGTTGCTGGAGTTTTTCTTCTTGTCTGGTTGACATTATGACGTCGCTTCATCCGCTTCTTGAGAGTTCTTGTACCAAGAGCATTCTCTGGTCTTCTTGTAGCCATTTTCTGTTAACACTATACACACCTTAGCTCATCACAACTTGACGCTCTAATACTAGGGTTCCTAGTGCTCATATTTCATCTTGATTTGAAACATCTTACAAGACATTGAAAAAGGGATTTCAACATGTAGAGTAAGCAATTTAGGAACTTGGAAATATGGACCTTACTCTTAATTCGTAATTGTAGGCAATAAAACAATCGTTTCATTCAAGCAAGTAACCAAGCAATCACCAGGCAGAAAGTTCTCTTCCTTTAACTTTTTTCCTTCTATCTAATCTCTCCCTTGTCTTTTTCTAAGCTCTTCTACAAGCTCCTTGTTCTTCCTCCTCTAACCTAACGATGTCTCTTTTATAGAGGAGGATGATGTAGGTTATAAAAGAATGGGAAAGCTGTAAAATAAATTAGGTATTTTATTGAGAACAACATGGAGTAGTAATGGCAGGTGACAACACAATAATTCAGACTACCTCTATAAAATTAAATGCTTGTTTTGTATTATCAAAAAGGTGCTGTCGTGTTTTTTGTTTGAATTCATGTAGCTGCCGTGGTTTGCATATTTGATTAACAATGTTTTTTTTCCTGTAATTTGCTTTTGCAATGATCCCATGGATTAAAGAATAAATCTCATCTTTTTCTATGCTTAGCCTTTTGTAGATTCGAGCCAAGAGTTGCAATGTTGGAAGTTGCGATCTGACTGTTGTAGTTAGGAAGTTGCCTTCAGAATTTTGTTACAACTTAGTGATTCTAGAATTTTGGAAAATGTGGTTCGTTTATAGCACGTGTAAGTTCATACAGAAGTTATAACTATTTGCCGTTGTAAGACTACTAATTTTTTCGATGAGGCATGATGAAATTTAATAGAATCAATATTAAGTCATTTTGTCTATCCTATTTCTGGTTAATTTACCTGCTCTATTGGAAAGTATCAAGCTTTGGCCCCATTCTGAAATTTGAGCATTTTATAGTACCGATTGATGCCATAGTGTTGTATACTGAATGTTGCTTTTGAATATGCAAACATTTTAATGTTGAACCACGTAATCATAGAGTTAATGAAATGAAAGTATTAATGATTACTTGGATCCTTATATTCCCCCAATTTATTATTTTTATAGTGCTGCTCCAGAACTTGTTAGTCTGCTATCAGAACTGAACACAGCTGTTGACCAACTTAAACAAGTGAAACCGTTTGCCTGTAAGGTAAATTCTTTGGACTTAAATTGTAGTTATTATTTGTTATTATAAATTGTTATAATAGTTCATTTGCATTTTTAGTTTCTCTTTTGCTTGGTACATGCTTATTTTTTTCATTGTTTCATAGTTATCTAGTTATATTTTGAATTCATATAAAATATTGCATATATATTTGGATTGTTTAATGAAAAAGTTCTTATCTGCATATATATTTGGATTATATATATATATATATGTATGTATATATATATATATATGTATATATATATATATATATGTATATATATATATAT